TTTATCCACATATATGTATCAGAGAATTTGTTGCTGAATATATTATCTTAATCTTAGTTGATATCCCTCCATTCTGTGAGGATTTTTCTTTCTACTATTTTTTTACAGTCTCCTCAAATTTCTACTAATTTTGTAAGCAGAGCATCTCTTCATCCTCTACTCAAAATCCAACTTGTGGTCTATGCATGCACATCTGAGAACTCATTAAGGAGCTCTGATGATAAATTATCTACTTCAGATTTCTATCCTTTAGAGCACAAACACTATGATATCTTCAAATTTGTTTTTCCTTTACATGACATAAGTATACAACCCTTCCCCCATGGCACAAACACTTGAAGAAATTTTTTCGTTGATTTTTCTTCCTTATGCTTCTCCGAGTTCCGCTCCTCCTCTCTCCCAAACACAAAGACTAACTAGAATTTATTCCTATGCCCACAATTCACATGGAGAACAAAGCGTGAAATCTAGTCTAAGGGAAAGGGGGAGCCTGAGAATCATGTGATTGGATTGCACATCTAGTCCCAGTTCTGAAATTACTACTACTAGAAGTATGGTTTCAAGCTGCTTCCTCTGAAGGTTGGGACTAAAGCTAAGATTTTTTTTTTGGTACTGGGGATCGAACTCGGGTTCTTGTGCTTGCAGGGCAGGCGACGGAACCACTGAGCTAAATCCCCGGCCCCCAAGCTAAGATTTTTTTGTCTTTTAAAAATATAGTTTTTATTATGGCAAAATATACATACACTTCACCACTGTAACCCTTTTTAAGTTCATAGTTCAGTGGTGTTAAGTACAGTGGCATGTGGCACAACCCATCAGTCACCACTATTAACTTTTACGTTTTTCATCATCTCGAACAGAAATTCTTTTTTTTAACTTTATGGTTTACATCTTTATTTTTTAGTTAAAATATTCATTAGTTTTCTCCTTTGAATTAGTATATGTTTGATACATAGTAAATACACTCATCATGGGGAATTGAAAAATATATATGGATCTCTCACATCTCCATCCTTTTACTTCTTCCACTCCCATCCATGTCCCCGATTCCCAGACTCCCTTCCCATCTCCCTATAGTCTATCTTCCTGTTTCCTATCATCTTTTATTTTGCTCTTTTAATTATTTACACTTTGAGATTCTCATATAAAAGAAACTATGTGTTTTTAACCTTCTGTGTCTGATTCAAACAGAAATTCTGTACCTATTAAAAAAATTCCCCCCAGTGAATGGTAACCTCTACTCTGCTGTCTCCTTGAACTTTATTTCTCTAGATACTGTATCTCCTATAACTGTAATGGCACAATGCTTGTCATTTTGTTGTGGCTTATTTTACATAGCATGATAGTTCCAAGATTCAGCCATTTTCTACCCTATAGCATCACTTCATTTCTTTTTCATGGCTGGATCTTAGTGCATTGTATGGATATACCAAGTAAAGCTAGGGTTTATCCGTTTCACAAAGGTATTATAAAGACTAATCAAATGACAATAAAAAATTACATCTAACAATATAAACAGTGACCAGAGTGTAATAGGATGGGTACCAGATAGTGGATTCAGACAGTAGAAAATCCAAGACAACAAGTCAAGGACCGCTATGGTTCATCTCTGATAGGAAGGATTTCATCCATGAGCGAAAAATCCCGAGAATGACACTTTGGGTCTCAGAATGGAGCTAGCAAGAAGACCCGCACCTGAGGTGGAGAGCTATTAGGGTTTCTTTTATTTTTTTGTAGAGGCAGATTTGATCTCTGAGGTTGCTGCAGGACTTAACTTAAAAGAAATCTTATCCTACTGTCTCTCCTTTAAGGCTAAAGGAGAGAATAGTTAATTACCTTGTTATATTCATCTCTCTGAATTTTCCACATAGGCTTTTCTCTTAATTAGCCATCATATGAAACTGAGGAATATTTATTATTTATTGTGTGTATTAAATTTTATGTCTTTCCTTCTTAATTTTTAAAATGGGTGAGTTTATTACTTTCTGTATCCTCTCCTAAAAAAGCAATATTTTTGTTGTTGTTGCTTTTATTGTTTGTTTATTTGCAGTCCTTAACTGACTTTTCTTTTGGTCAGTTATTCTTCATAAAAAGCAAGATAGAGCAATGCTTCTGGCATGCTTTAGATTAATTGAAAAAAGCAAATAGCTTCCTACATATTTTTCTGATTTTTAATTCTTCTCTTTAATCTTTTCCTCAATTTTAATGATACCTATAAACGTCCACTCAATAATGGTTTTTATATGGATGTACTCAAGGCTCTATAATAACTTATTAAAGTTATTTTATATAGTGATTTGGCTGTCGAGATAACATGGCTGTAGCAATGACTTGTATGTAGATGGCAAGTCACTGCTGTGCCTCTACTTTGGCTCTAAAGGGACCCAGATAAGCACACCTCCATGCCAATTTCAACCCCAATTACAAATATACCATAATTCATCACACTTGGGGAGCTCCGAAGGGGTGATTCATTTTCAGGCTTATTTAACTTTCTTAGGAATTAACTGTCAGCCAAAGTACTCAGAAAAAAAGCATGTCCAAATAATTTTAACTTAAAAATCATCATAATTTTTACCCTTGCGGTAGGTAACATATTATAGTGTATCATACACCATCATAATCATTTTATGTATCTGTGGCTTGTTTCTGAATTGTAAATTCCTTAAATGCAGAGAATGCTTCCAGTGCTTCGTATCTGTCTCCCACCTTGTACAAGTTCCACTAAACAATGCTGTATTTGAATGGAAAACAGGTCTGTGTATGTAAACAAGATTCACTTAAGAGTTTGCCTCAGCTGTTTAATATCTCAATGCATCAATCAAGGTTTTATTTGGAAATGATGATGCTTATAATGACCATGTCATGACCTCTTAAAATAATCTGGACAGCTTTGTAAGTCAAATCTCTTCAGTTCTATTTTCTTTTCTAGCTTCCTTCTCCCCTCCACACTATATTCTTTTCTTTTCTGTTTATTCCTCACACTTCTTCTTTTGTATATGCTCTCTCTTCTTTGTACACTTGAGTAATTATGGAGGGAAAGGGAGGCCAGCATTTTCTTTTTATTGTGCTAAGAAAAACAAGCTTAAGCATATTTCTATACTGTAAAGACCCAATGGATTCATTTTCTGGTGGGAAAAATCTGACCAGAAAGAAAACAGATAGACTTTTAAAATATAAAAATTAGATGAATAGAGGTTGTATCAGTCAGTTTGATTACATATTAAAGGTACTCTTGATATTCTTGATTATGTGCAAGTAAATAATATAGGTTGTTATAATTTTAGATGGAATTGCTAAGAAACTAAAATGTTCAAGAACTTATACATCACCATTTTTTCCTCAAATATTCTGCTGAGAAGGAAAATATTTAGAACATACCCAGTTTATTGGGAGTTTGTTTTCATATGTCTACATGTGTTCATCTATAAAAATATTTTAAAATGTAGCTTTTTATTGATTCTACTTTACTAAAAATCAATCAAACCATCATTTGCTAATAAATGTTTTATTCCACATTTTCAAACTTCTTTCAGGATACCTGCATTTATCTATAGTTCCTTCTATTTTTTTTTTTTTTTTGGTACCGGGGATCGAACTCAGGACCTTGTGCTTGCAAGGCCGGCACCAGAACCACTGAGCTAAATCCCTGGCCCAACAGTTCCTTCTTTTTAAGAGAGAAGGTGTGCAACCCTAAAATCACTGCTAGACATCAAAATTATGGCTCCCAGGACCTGAAGACCTAGTTGTTGAGATTCTTTATTTGCAAAAGGAGACTTCCTAACTAAATAACTTGAGTTTGTAACTATGAAAAAGAAAAAAGAAAAACCTGCTTATCTGTTGTAAGTAAACACATTCCCTTTGTTACATGGTATGCAATTAGATGCATTTGAAATAAAAGGTAAGTTAAATCAGACCTCTCAGAGACAAGAATGTACTATTTTAAAGCAGATGTGTCAAATGTTGTTTTTCAACCCACTACCAAAGGGTGTTTCACAGGTAATTTCTGAGGGCTGATGTTGGCTAATTATTAGCTACCATACCCTGCCTCCCATTCTAAGTGACTATCTCCTGGCAGAAAGACACAGCTAGGAATGTTTTGTTTCATTTGTCCTTGGAGTTTTTATCAGCATCAGGAAAGTGGACTGAGCCAAAGTTAGAAGAATTCTGCAGCTAAGCAAAAAGCGACACATTTAACAGCCTCCATTAATTGGGGGCTGTTCCATGATTAATTTGAGAAAAACAGAAGAGAGCGATTTCTTTACAACTCACAGTTGGACGCAGCACACTAAAAGTAATCCTGTAAATTACATTTTAAATCTTCAACATATTCTGAGCAGATAAAATAGTGGCATGATTGACCAAACTCCTTTTAAAAGTACACATATTACGATGCATCATAGTTATAAACAGATGGTATTTGGCCTCCTTCCTATTCTCAACATTTGGAATTTCTAAACTATGTGAATTAAACAATAATATTTTATAAACATACAAGGGATTTTGCTCACTGCTTTGTTAACATAGAAATTATACAATGCTGACATTTATTTAAATTTTAAAAAGTAAACAACAGTGTGCATTGAAATAAAGCAAACTAAAATCAACATAGAGAAGTATGTTCAGTGTGCATATTACCTACAATGGCACTGGCCTTTTTAAAGGAACACATAATGGGTTGAGGAACAAATTGTAGCTTAGACGGCCCTAATCCTTTGTACTCCAAAGGCTTATTTAACACCTCTCTGTAAACAACGGATATTTATACCATAATTGGCTATTTGACCATCAGTGTTGGTTTACTATGTAACCTGCTATTATGTAGTTAAAAGAAGTTCCCCTCCATTGGCTCAGCAGCTTTCATACTAGCGAAAGTGTCCTCACAGTTTTAAAAACACTTACACAAACAGGAATCAGTCTGACACTTGTACTCAGAATGAGAAACATTATCACGATATCAATAAGTATGTATTTTTTTTCCTTTGGGGGATATTATTGCCAGAAAAAAAGGGAAATGTATCAGATCTTAATGTCATTTCCTGAGATTCTTTCCTAAAATTAACGCTTTAACCCTTGAGCCACAGTTTGGAAGGAAGGCTCATCTGCTGATTTGATGTACAAAATAGAAGACACTTGGTTTCCAAACACTAGTCTCAGATTTGCAGAGTTGTGTAGTGATGAATAAATAATAAATCAGCTATTTCAATCTGTTTTAGGATTTTTGAAAGCCCTGCTTATCATTGTTTACAGTTTCTTCTAAATGCACTTCTCCTATATTCTTGTTCAGCTTTCCAAGTGCAGGCTTAGTAGGCCCCCTCTCCCATTTCCCTTTCTTCCAGGCCTGGGCTTCTCCTATTTTAGCCAACTCACTCATCCATACCTTTAAACCTTCAGGTTGAGGAATATTCCAAATCATTTGAGCGAAACATGCCAGGGACGGTCACCAACAACGTAAGCTAATGTATCTCGTATTTGGTCACCGATGTGTAGCGCTTTTGCATACAATCTCCACTGGTGTAAAAGAGAGAATTATGCTACAGCCGACATGGATAGAAAGCAAAGAGGCACTCCTGAAATCAGGGACAGAGGGCATTTCCTCCTACAGTTCTAAATGTGTACATTCGTTTGAATCTTTAATGATAAATAACAATACTCATGCGGCGGAGGTTTTAAAAGAATCAAGTTTCAAAATATTGAACATTTTCCTAAGTTTTTCGAAAAGTTAGAGCAAATGAGTGACATATCAATGTAATGCTTTTACATGGTCTACCGTCAACTTCCATTTAAGTACTCTTCAGCAGTCCTGAAATAGGATCCTGGATAAGAGGAGAGACAAAGTTTGTGATTCAAAATACAGGCAGGAAGTGGGACAAGAAAGCACCCTGGGCATGGGACTCAAATCACACGACTGGATATACCAGAGTCAGAGAGCAGTGTTTCAAAATTTATAGTCAGAATCTCTGCCTACAGTGTCTCAGTGCCCATCTCCACTTCTTCGGGAGTTTAAATAAAAAAAAAAAGATGTCGAGAGAGGACGGTGTACAAATCAGTACTGCTGGTTTTGCTCAGCCCGCCTTCATCCTGTTCATTGACTGAGGACGGAGCCTGGTCGACCCAAGGAACCGAAATCAATGAAACAGACACTGAGAGAAGGCTCTGCCCCGCGGGCTGCGCTTCTACTCCAGCGACCCCGTCCGCGGGAGCCAGGGCCCCGTGGGCCCCGCCCTGCGCGGGAGTCTGCAGGTAGCTCGGCACGCGCGTGCCAGGGTGCGTGGGTCGCGTGTGAGCGCGGCCGCCGAGCCCCCTGCTCCCCGCAGCCTCCGCGTTCGGCTCTGCAGCCAGCGAGGTTCGCGACGACTTCTGACCTCAGCGTCCCTCTCTCCTTTCCTGGAGCTGGCAGAGGTGTAGAACTGTCCCCATCTGTTTTGGACCAGGACCGAGCGAGGCGTCGAGGGCGAGTGACATCGTCGACGGCGAGTGACATCGTCGACCGAGCTTGGGCTCCTCTCCAGGAGCCGAGAGCTGGGGGCAGGAGCGCACAGCGATGGCGGCAGCCGGGCCACCCCGGGTCCCTCTCCGGCCCGACCCCGAGGCGCGCACGGGAGGCCGCCCGGAGCCCCTCTGGCTGGCTCCCCCTGCTCTGGGCAGCGTGGGCGCAGCTGCTCCGATGCTAGGCACTCGCTGTTAGGGGGCTCGCGGCCAGCAAGGCTGGGGTGTCCGGTGCGCGCCCCCGGCAGGCGAGCGCCCCGGCCGGCCGGGCCAGCAGATCACGCCAGTCCCGGGCCCTGCGGCACGCGACCGAAGGCGGAAGACCGAGGAGCGGGAGGGAAGGAGAAAAGAGGTAGCAAGTCCCAGACAAGGGATCCTTAATTACAGATTAAAGGCAAACAAAACCGAACACCACGTTTTCCACGTGTCAGCTATGGCCACGACAAAAGGAAACAGATCGCTGAGGGTGTGTAGAGGTGGGGAGACCCCTCCTCACCCCCTTCTCCCTTATAATGGGTGTAAATGTAAAATGCATTAGGCAGTGACTCTGGGTAGTGGTGCCCGGGGCCAAATCGCAGCTGCAAGCTCCTTCGTGTAGGAGGACAGTTTGCTGATGCACCCAGAGGTCCGGAGAACCTCTAACAAAAGAGACTATAAATACTCTGCTCCAGCACATTTTGCTTCTTTAAAACTGCATTACTCATACATTTTTAAGTTTCAAAATTGTTGCAATTTATTATCTTCAGTAAAATACAAACACACACATACACACACTTTGTTTTGCAATTTTGCAGATTCCATTTTATTGGCCTGGTATCACAGCATTAGAAAGGCGGGTGGAGGAGAAGCCGAGCCAACTGAAAGCCACGGAACATAGCTGCAAGAACCAGACCACGTTCCCCTCCATGACTCTTTGATTCAATTGAAAACGGAGAGTTGCCTGCTTTGATTTCTTTCCTTTTAATTAATCAGGATCTCAAAACGATTTCCACCTTGTCCCTGGAATTTAAGACACAGGTTTAACTCCAAGATGTCCTGAATTCTGCATAGAAGTGGAGAGATGCAGACCCCAAAGCCCGCCGACTGCCTGCCATCTATGACAAACCTCTAGTTCCTTGCCCTTACTGCGAACCCTAAAATCAAAGAGCCCACCTGAGAGCCACCACACATAGCACCCTTCTGTATTTTCTCCCTCTGGTTGCTGGGTTAGCTTTAGAAAAGGAGGTATTTGTCTCTTTATTAGCAATCTGTTTACTTTCAGCAGATACAATGATATACCAGGTTGAAGGCAATAAGGCTACACCACTTAGTGATTTTACCAGTCTTCTTCCCAAGAGAGACTGTGTTTCCATTTTTTATTTGTAGTTTTTTTCCCCCACCAATGCCATTTTCCTCACAGCATTTTGGAAAAAATTTTTTCCAAGTGCTTTTTCATGTGGTTCCAGTTAAATGATTTGCCCACACCCCAAATAATTCTCCTTGCCTTCAAGATTAATAGCTGCATATCAGTAATTCTTAAATACCGTATGATCCATATTTTCAATTTAAATGATCCTAATATTGGCCAGGCAAATGCCTGAACCAATATATGTGTGGACTGGTTGCCAACCAGATGACAGTCCCAGCACATTCTCAGTAAGAATACAATTAGGTTCCTTCAACGGCTGAAGGCAGAGTTTCCTTCTTTCTGACCTTCCCAGGAAGTAGATTAGCAGATTCACGAAAAGGCGTAAATTATACAAGGTTTCAATCCATCTCCCCTCTTTAGGGTACATATTTAGGGAAACTTTCAAAAAATCTCCTTTAAGGCATCCAGCCCTTCTGTGATTTAGGCACACTCGCTCCACTTTTTGGCCTTATCCTTCAGTAACATAAATAATGTAAAAGAGCAAATTAGGAGTTTTTCTTTTCTTATAGCTTGCCTGTGTTTGAGTGGATCATCCTGTTGCAGTTGATTTAGGCCAGTTGTTGTTAGTTTGTGTTTTTACCACCCACCGAAGAGCAGCCCAGAGTTTAGTTTATATTAATAAATGATGTTCATGACTAGGCTTCTAAATGCCAGAGTTATGATTTATGTTTTCAAACGGGCAGAGAAAGGAGAATGGCAATAAAACTAGCTCCTAAATCATTCAGTCTTTGGCTTCACACGTGTATGTGGGATTTTGGGGGTCTGCTTATTTTTTGAATATACCTCTTATTTCTCCTTATTATCATGGACTACGTATTTTTTGACTACCTTGTCATAGCTTCAAACCCTGTTTATTGTAAATCAATTGACAGAAGGCATTATATTTTTTCTACTTTCTAAGTGTTTATAACTGTCCCTATTTATCCCCCCATTAAGAGTTTCACAACAAATCCCTGCAAAAAATAAATTAAAATCTGCAACTTCAGACACCAAGGAAGAGCGCATTAATCCACTTAGTAAAATACCCCGAACTCCCCCTCTTCATTTCAGCTCTTCTTAATGTAACATTTAGTAATTGCAGCTGGCTCCTTATACTTCGCTCCCTCCCTTTTATTCTGAATCATATTGGCCTTGTTTAACCTTCATTTCCTTTCTACCCCCCACATCTGTCCACATACTTTTCTTTGACCATGTTTCTCTCTCTTTCCGCTGCCTTGATTGAAGGCAATAAATGGAGCTTTCTAAGAGCTTAATACTTTCCGATAAAATTCATTCTACCTCCCCATTCCACTATTAATCCTTTGTACAGTTTTTATGTATCCTTCAGTTGTACAGTTACTGATCCATATTTTCCTGATGGATTGTTAAGTTATGCTGGCTTTTCAGAGCTGCCTCCATAATCCTGAAGGAAAGGCTTTTCACTTGGTGTGCTCCCTGACTTTGGAATGCCTTTCCTGGCAAGGACAGACATTTTGCTTTGACTGTGATTCTTAAGTTACAATTCAAAGCTAATTTGTTTAGTTAGGTTTCTACTATGAGCAGCTCTGTTTCTCACTGCTAAGTGCTCCATGATGCTGCTTAGTTGGAGGGTGTGTTGTAAGTATAAGATGTAATATACTTATATTGTACTTGATTATCAGTTTTCAAAAACAGCTGCATGCTTTGATATCTGAGTAAGGAAATATCAGAAGATAATATACCATTGGTATTTATTACTCTATAATTAAGGCTGTGTCAGTGTTTTCCTTTAAATAACTCTATTTTCAGAAATTCATATCTCAAGCATAAATTTCCCTATGAATTACAGTCTAATACCATATCAGAGTATCTTCTTTTAAAGTTATCCCTCCCCTTCCTTTTCTTCCTGGGGAAGTAAGTTTCAGGATATAATTTCTGGGTTCTCTATTAGGGATAAGAGGAAGCAGACCCAGCACTGCAGTGAAAGGTACGGCTGCTGTCACCACCTGCTCCTTCTGCTCTTCAGCCCTTTGCACCAGGTGACAACACCAGGCTGTCTTTTGCAGCCTTATATCTACTTGGATGAGCAACTTCATCACTCAATGATTTTAAAGGGCAACACAGATTCCGTTGTTCAGAAATATCACAGGTGCCAGAATTGGAAATTTCAGCACAAAAAATCAGTTCTTTTACACTGCTTGCCTCGTGGTCATCTAAAATATAAACAAGGCCAGGTGAAACCCGAAATAAACCTGGGGAAAGGTATGAGCAACTTACTAACCCATGCTTCTTGCCATAGTGAGGGGTAGAAAGAGGAAAGAGGGGAAAGAGATGGAAACAAATATTTTCCCCTCCTTCTTCTTTAAGGGCTGCTCTTCACTAGTGGAACTGGCTATGACCTACAGAGAGCCTTGAAAAATTATGAGTTTCAGACCTGCCTCCTTTGCGACAGGATGCAAAGGGAGTCACCTTCTCCTTATGTCCTCAGTTTTCCTATATCTGAAATGGAGAGGTCACAAAAACAAATGCTTATTAGGAGGGCCAGAGGAGTTTCCCAAAGATATGAATCCAATATAGTGTAAGACCATAGGAAGTGGTGGGTGTGACGTGGGATGTAGAGACTGAATGCCTCCCTAAAGGTGGAATAATAGTTACAGTGAAAATACTTAAAATACTGACCACAGTGCATGATCTCTCATGTCCCTGTCAACACTAACAATGTGTCTGCTATCATTTGTGTGGCTATACTGTCTGATGTCTTTTGCCATCTTCTGCCTGGTGGAAAGAGGAATAGAAGAGAATCAGGGGTCCAAGTGAATTGGGTACACTGAACTTGTGCTTGCTGAAAGGTATTTAGGTGACAAGGACAAGAGCTCATGTAGGAAAGGTTTGTACAAAAAAGGCTTTCAGGTTTGCTAACATGCTCTGGCTTCTAAATATGCCACTATACAATGTTTTAATTTTCTCATTGGTGAATGATATAAAAACGTTTAAATTTTCATTCAAAGGACTTCACATTCCCAGAGAAAAGATAAACAAGTATATATTCCTAGTGTGTGCCACATCTTCCAGTGTTCTACCTTAGTCTACTATTCAAACACAATAACTGACAGAAGAGTAACATAAGCATTTTAGACCACCTTTCAATAATCCTTAAATCAATTTATGAGAACAGTTAGAAACCTCTCCTAGAGTTGAAACTCATGATCACAGAGCTATGGGAAAGAATAAGAAATCACTCAGGTAATGACAGATAATTTGAGGACCCCTGAAGACACTGATCCCTAATTCCAATTTAGGACAATGGGCAAGGTGAGGATCCTGGCCCCTGAAGCTACATGTGCCCCTGAAGAGCATCTTAACCATCCTAGGGAAAGCTCCCTTCCCAGGAGGAGAATGGCAAGCAGGTCACAGTTTCCTCTGTCTGGAGGAAAGGAGACAGTAACACTGTGGGAAATGGGTAGGGTGGTAGAAACTGAGAGCTCTTCTGCTCTACCACAGAGCTCTAAATTTTTCAAGATTAAAACAGAGCTCATTTAACATTTGCCTTTATCCTGCTCTCATTACCCTTCAAAGGGAAATTTATACAGCTATAGTGTTTCATCTTGCATTTGTAATGCCACAGGCATTAACAATGATGATCAGGAACCCCACCCAAAGGAACCCATGGACAGGCAAGGGGGACACTCTCCCATTTGTGACATCTAGATTGAAGTGAAGTCCTTGGCTCCTGTCACACAGGTAAGTACTGTCAGTGGTTCTGTCACTGTCAGAAGAAAATGGTTTTCTGACTTGTTTAATAGTTCAGGAAGTCAACAAATGTTGAGAATGACCAGGTAGCAACTACCCATATGGATCCCAAAGTATTTATAACTTCTCATGAAAAGGTCTATGCAACAGTAACATTTCTGACATGTAAAAAGCCATAAAGAATCAGTAAGACTTTATGTATCATGACCTAGCCTAAGAAATGGAAGGCTTATTGTACAGTGAAGGTGTCTCCCTACTGACACAACCTGCTTTTCCACCATCACTCCTCTGAAATATACATTATTTACAATTTAGTATTGATTCCTATCTTTTGTTTATAATTTTTTTTGGGGGGGGCAGGGTCCCGCTTTGTAGTGCCAGGCGTCCTTGAGCTCACTGTGTAGCCTAGATTAGCCTTGAACTTGTGGAGATTCTCCTGCCTTTAGCCTCCCAAGTGCTGGGATTACAGGTGTGTGCCACCATGCCCAGCTATGTTTGTAATACTTCAATAACATATGTACATATCTTTGAGGAGCAATTAGAATTGCTTGCATGTTTTAAAACTTTTCCAGTTACATTTTAATGAATAATTTTGAAGTGAGGATGTATTATAGAGACACTGGTTATTCCATATTTCAATTCAGAATTTAAAATGAAACAGGTTTAAGATAATGGCTTATAGGCCTCCAGGCCAATGTACTAACACTCCCAGCACAGAGGAGGAGGCTTCCAGGTCAATATTCCACCGCTGCTAGCACAGGGGAGGAGGCTTCTGGGATGACATATCGCTGCTCCCAGAACAGAGAAGGTGAGCCCAGCAGCACCCCTCTCCATTGAAATGAGAAGACATGTAAACAAGTCTCAAAAACAGACTTCCAGATCA